AAGAGTGTCAGGAGACAAGAGTGTCAGGAGACAAGAGTGTCAGGAGACAAGAGTGTCAGGAGACAAGAGTGTCAGGAGACAAGAGTGTCAGGAGACAAGACAAGTGTCAGGAGACAAGAGTGTCAGTGTCAGGAGACAAGAGTGTCAGGAGACAAGAGTGTCAGGAGACAAGAGTGTCAGGAGACAAGAGTGTCAGGAGAGTGTCAGGAGAGTGTCAGGAGACAAGAGTGTCAGGAGAGTGTCAGGAGGAGACAGAGTGTCAGGAGACAAGAGTGTCAGGAGACAAGAGTGTCAGGAGACAAGAGTGTCAGGAGACAAGAGTGTCAGGAGACAAGAGTGTCAGGAGACAAGAGTGTCAGGAGACAAGAGTGTCAGGAGACAAGAGTGTCAGGAGACCAGAGTGTCAGGAGAGTGTCAGGAGACAAGAGTGTCAGGAGACAAGAGTGTCAAGACAGGAGACAAGAGTGTCAGGAGACAAGAGTGTCAGGAGACAAGAGTGTCAGGAGACAAGAGTGTCAGGAGACAAGAGTGTCAGGAGACAAGTGTCAGGAGACAAGAGTGTCAGGAGACAAGAGTGTCAGGAGACAAGAGTGTCAGGAGACAAGAGTGTCAGGAGACAAGAGTGTCAGGAGACAAATGTCAGGAGACAAGAGTGTCAGGAGACAAGAGTGTCAGGAGACAAGAGTGTCAGGAGACAAGAGTGTCAGGAGACAAGTGTGTCAGGAGACAAGAGTGTCAGGAGACAAGAGTGTCAGGAGACAAGAGTGTCAGGAGACAAGAGTGTCAGGAGACAAGAGTGTCAGGAGACAAGAGTGTCAGGAGACAAGAGTGTCAGGAGACAGAGTCAGGAGACAAGAGTCAGGAGACAAGAGTGTCAGGAGACAAGAGTGTCAGGAGACAAGAGTGTCAGGAGACAAGAGTGTCAGGAGACAAGAGTGTCAGGAGAGAGTGTCAGGAGACAAGAGTGTCAGGAGACAAGAGTGTCAGGAGACAAGAGTGTCAGGAGACAAGAGTGTCAGGAGACAAGAGTGTCAGGAGACAAGAGTGTCAGGAGACAAGAGTGTCAGGAGACAAGAGTGTCAGGAGACAAGAGTGTCAGGAGACAAGAGTGTCAGGAGACAAGAGTGTCAGGAGACAAGAGTGTCAGGAGACAAGAGTGTCAGGAGACAAGAGTGTCAGGAGACAAGAGTGTCAGGAGAGTGTCAGGAGACAAGAGTGTCAGGAGACAAGAGTGTCAGGAGACAAGAGTGTCAGGAGACAAGAGTGTCAGGAGACAAGAGTGTCAAGAGTGTCAGGAGACAAGAGTGTCAGGAGACAAGAGTGTCAGGAGACAAGAGTGTCAGGAGACAAGACAAGAGTGTCAGGAGACAAGAGTGTCAGGAGACAAGAGTGTCAGGAGACAAGAGTGTCAGGAGACAAGAGTGTCAGGAGACAAGAGTGTCAGGAGACAAGAGTGTCAGGAGACAAGAGTGTCAGGAGACAAGAGTGTCAGGAGACAAGAGTGTCAGGGAGACAAGACAAGTGTCAGGAGACAAGAGTGTCAGGAGACAAGAGTGTCAGGAGACAAGAGTGTCAGGAGACAAGAGTGTCAGGAGACAAGAGTGTCAGGAGACAAGAGTGTCAGGAGACAAGAGTGTCAGGAGACAAGAGTGTCAGGAGACAAGAGTGTCAGGAGACAAGAGTGTCAGGAGACAAGAGTGTCAGGAGACAAGAGTGTCAGGAGACAAGAGTGTCAGGAGACAAGAGTGTCAGGAGACAAGAGTGTCAGGAGACAAGAGTGTCAGGAGACAAGAGTGTCAGGAGACAAGAGTGTCAGGAGACAAGAGTGTCAGGAGACAAGAGTGTCAGGAGACAAGAGTGTCAGGAGACAAGAGTGTCAGGAGACAAGAGTGTCAGGAGACAAGAGTGTCAGGAGACAAGAGTGTCAGGAGACAAGAGTGTCAGGAGACAAGAGTGTCAGGAGACAAGAGTGTCAGGAGACAAGAGTGTCAGGAGACAAGAGTGTCAGGAGACAAGAGTGTCAGGAGACAAGAGTGTCAGGAGACAAGAGTGTCAGGAGACAAGAGTGTCAGGAGACAAGAGTGTCAGGAGACAAGAGTGTCAGGAGAGTGTCAAGAGTGTCAGGAGAGAGTGTCAGGAGACAAGAGTGTCAGGAGACAAGAGTGTCAGGAGACAAGAGTGTCAGGAGACAAGAGTGTCAGGAGACAAGAGTGTCAGGAGACAAGAGTGTCAGGAGACAAGAGTGTCAGGAGACAAGAGTGTCAGGAGACAAGAGTGTCAGGAGACAAGAGTGTCAGGAGACAAGAGTGTCAGGAGACAAGAGTGTCAGGAGACAAGAGTGTCAGGAGACAAGAGTGTCAGGAGACAAGAGTGTCAGGAGACAAGAGTGTCAGGAGACAAGAGTGTCAGGAGACAAGAGTGTCAGGAGACAAGAGTGTCAGGAGACAAGAGTGTCAGGAGACAAGAGTGTCAGGAGACAAGAGTGTCAGGAGACAAGAGT